GCAGAGAAGGTTGAACTGGAGCCAACAAAACACCCAAAGATGCCACCAAGGAAAAGTGAAAGGAAAACCCCTTCCACCAGGCTACAAACAGCTGCAGAGCACAAAAGGCTGTGCCAGCTCAGCCAGAGAGGTGCCCCAGCCCAGCAGAAAGGGCCCATCCATCCCCTGGCAGAGCTGTGGGTCAGGGGGTGGAGGCAGCAGGTGGGGCAGAGGCAGGAGTTTGTGCAGGGCTTTTGTTGAGCCACCAAATGAATTAATATCCAGTGAGATGAATTAACATCCAGTGAGATGAATTAACCTCCATCACCCTCTCGCTCATCCCTCCCCACGGTGGCTCATCCTTTTCCCACTGTTCTGCTTCCCTTCACCTTCCTGCACGTCCTCCCCTGCCTGCTCCTGGTTTAGTAAGGATGGAGAGGAGATCCTGGCCGGCCCAGGAGAAGGGCTGGGATGTCCTGCCAGGCTGCAGCCACAGGCAGCTGTGCTGCCCTGTGAAAAGACTCCCATTCATCTCTGCGAGAGCAGAGCGTGCGGGGGAGGCAGCAGCAGCAGGGGAGGGGGAAGTGTTGGAGGAGGCTGAGAAAAGGAAGGAGGCCACAGTTAAAAATAGGATAAAAGGACATGAAGGAAAAAAAATGCAGATTTTTTTTTTTTAAGAAAAAAAAGCTTCGTTCGGAAAATGTGCTGCAGCTGGAGAAGCCATCGGGCTGAGCACGGTCAGCTTTCACCTTCCCCCGCCCTCCTCCTCCTCCCCAAGCCCCTTCCCCCCGAGCGTGGGCCTGGAAGCCGGCCCAGAAAGCGCTCCCAGAAAGCACTTTCCTCCGGGATTCTCCAGCGGGAAAAGAGCAGGGCTCGTGCAGGAGGAGGGGGCCACGTGGGGAAAGGCAGGGAGAGCTCCCCAGGGCTGCAGGAGGTCCTGTGGGACTCCTGGCTGGCTCCAGGCTGGGCTAGGCTGGAAGGGAGCTCACGGGGTCAGCGGGGTGAGGGCACATCCATCCCTGCTGTGATGGGGCAGAGCACCCCAGGATGTGTTGCTCCAGCTACAAGGGCTTTGCTTTCCTGCCCAAACCAGCCCAGGCTGCAGGTTACTTGATGCCCACGAGGCACCAACTCTGCCTTTTCCTCTACAAAAGATCCCTGGAAGTGTCCCAGGCCAGGTTGGACGGGGCTTGGAGCAACCTGGGCAAGTGGAAGGTGTCCCTGCCCATAGCAGGGGTGGAACGAGATGGGCTTGAAGGTCCCTTCCAACCCAACCCAGTCTGGGATTCATTTCTCACTGCAAGTAAGATCACTCCCCCAAATACTCCAGTAGTATCCAAAAGGCTGGGAATACCTTCATTCACAGGGTGCTAACTCAGCACAGCAGTCGTAGAAACTTCAGCCAGGGTCCTTCCATCCTCACTGCCATCAACAACAGCTTTAGCTCCCCCCTCACTGAGGAAAACAAACCCGGCCAGGGGGAAGGGGTTGTCATAGTGGCCTTGGCTCAGAAAGGCAGCACAGCCAGGGCTGTGTCCATGCTGAAATTATCATGGAAGAACAGAATCCCTGAGTGGTTTGGGTTGGAAGAGACCTTAAAGATCATCTCACTTCAAACCCCCCACCCTGGGCAGGATGCCACGAAATCAAGTTGCTCAGAGCTCCATAATAATTTGATAATACCATTATCAAATCTTTTCCTTCACTCCAGCTTTATGCCTAACCTTGTATAATCCAAAAAAATACAGCCAGGGAGTAATATTAGGATACTGTTTCCTTATGAATGAAACATAAGTGTGACTCTCAGCATCCTCTCAGCAGTGCTGCCACTTCGGGCAGGCCCGTGGCATTTCTTTGGGCTGGCAGATGGATCAGCTGAGGTGCAGTGGCCTTTCCAGCCCTGATCCCACCTGTGCAAGGAGCAAAGCTCCTGTCCACAAACAGGCAGCAGTTCCCTTCTGGCTGGATTCATTCTGTCACCTCTGGGATGTGCCTTTCTCTGGCTGTGACCCCTGGTTGGTTCTCAGGGCAGTGATGTTCCCAACATGTGCCCCACAGACTGTGGCAGCAAACTAACAAATAAAACTGCCTCTGGTCCATTGCCAAATTTGGCCTTTCAAACAAAAAAACCTCCACCCCTTCTTGTCTTCATCTACAGCTAAATCCACATCAGGCTTCCCTTTCTCCATATCACTGAATAATCTTATCAGCCTCAAGCACAGTGTAAATAAACTCAGCCAAGCTTCAAAGGCAAAACATCTCTAAACACAAGGCAGCTCTCAAACTTTTAGAAATAGTGTGGTTTCTATTGCAAGGGGATATATTCACACTTGCATTTTCCTTGTTGACTTGTTTCTTTCACCAACATCGAGACCATGAAAACCAAAATAGCCTCTAGTACACCAGAAGAATAGATGACAAATGGTTTTAATGTGCACCCGAGACACAAAGGAGAAATGAAAACTGTTCCTGGCCCTATATACAAATGAGAGTTTCCTCTCGTTTAAAATTAGAAACTGCTCTAGACTGAAGAAACAGCAGCACTAAAAAACAAATCAGAGAAAGAGTACCTTGCATTGCAATGGGCAGAACTGAAAAGTGACCCTCAGGTCTTGCAAGAGAACCAGGAGCCTGTTCTACCTGTGCCAAAGTGCCAAAAGTTTGATCAAAACCTGTGGAAGACAGTGCCAACTTGAGTTTCTTTCCCTGGCCTCACTGAGGTTTGAAGGAGGCTCCAGCCTCTGGAAGAGGACATTTCACAGAGCCAGCGTGGGGTAATGAAGATCTGGGCTGCAGATATGTTGGTCCCTGGAGAGAGCACTTCCACAGAAAAGGGGAGAGGGGAGGGAAAAAAAAACCACTAAGAAAACTTTCCAGGCACAGATTTGCAAAATGTTTGAGCAAATCCAAATGCTGCCAGGGCAGATTTCATCAGAGCTGAGCTGACATCATGCTGAGAGAGGTCACCCACAGGAGTTGAGCAAAGAGCTGCAATAAGGAGGGCTGGGAATAGGCAGAGGAGCTTTGCTCCAGCCACAGGCACAGCTCTCTGTGTCCACCTCCTGCTCACACACAAGCGCTCACCAAAGGACAATGTAAAAAAAACCCCAAATGCCTGAATCTTTGCCAAGGAGAGATTTCAGACTGTACATTTGACAACAGTCCCTGGTTCTGCTGAACTCTTTAGCTGCAAAAAGTCTCTGAACATCAGGGTTCTGCCTCCCCAAGGGGCCAATGTGAAGAACTAACGAGCTGGGAACAAGCCACAGGAGAGCAGCACATGCCATGCCAAGGCTTACGTGGGATTTAAGTGCTTCAAGACAGGCTTATGTGGGACTAAAGTGAAACATAAACTTCATATTGGCCCTTTGCAAAGGTCACATCTGTGTAACCTGAGCCCTTTCCCTCAGTTCTGTGCCTGTGCCAGGCTGTACCTGAGCCCTCTGCTCTGCCACAGCACCACAGGGCTCTGGGCTGGGGTCCCATCACCCATCCCAGGGGCAGGAGAAACAACTGCCCACCTGACACAGAATCCTAGGATGGGTTGGGTTGGAAGAGACCTAAATCCCATCTTGTTCCACGCCCTGCCATGGGCAGGGACACCTTCCACCAGCCCAGATTGCTCCAACCTGGCCTTGGACACTTCCAGGGATGGGACAGCCACAGCTTCTCTGGGCAACCTGTGCCAGGGCCTTCCCATCCTGTGAGTAAAGAATTCCCTTCTAATATCTAATCTAAATCTCTCCCCTTTTAGTTTAAAACTGTTCCCCCTGTCCCACCTGCCTGTGTGATCACATCTGCTGCCAGCTGGTTATGCAGGAATGGTTTGGGTTGGTCTGCTCTGGAATCCCAGAATGGTTTGGGTTGGATGGGACTCTAAAAACCATCTCATCCCACCCCCCTGCCATGGGCAGGGACCCCTTCCACAAAAGCAGCCCAAAGTGCAAGCTCAGCTTGAAGATTCAGGTGTTGAACAACGTGTGGGGCAAGAATTAGTCAGCGGTGACTTTGTAACGGCTTTCGGGCTCTGAATGTGTCAGAGGAGCCCATCCTGCAGCACCACCAGGGCTCGGCTTCAGCTGGGCACACACCACAGCCAGCATGGCCCAGCGTGGCCACACCTCTCCAGCTGTGGGACCTGGAGACTGTGACATCACCTTCCCAAGGAATCATGGAATCCCAGAAGGGGTTGGGTTGGAAGGGACCCTAAAGCCCATCTTGTCCCATCCCCTGCCATGGGCAGGGACACCTTCCACGAACCCAGGTTGCTCCAAGCCCTGTCCAACCTGGCCTTGGACACTTCCAGAGATGGGGCAGCCACAGCTTCTCTGGGAAACCTGTGCCAGTGCAAGGCATGGAGCTACAAGAGACTCAAAACTACAACCACCACAGTGGGATGAAAACTTGTGAGTCCCCATTTCCTTGCAGCCTTCCATGAATGGCCCTTTCCAAAGCCACTCACCAGGACATCAGTCCTGCAAATGCCATGAGAAATGCTGAAGATGCAACCAGCAGGTTGGCAGGTCCACCCTGCCCGCGGTCTCCTCCTGGAGACCCCCATGGCTGGGAAGATCCCAGCAAGCAGCAACCAGGGCTGCTGTCCCTAAATGCAAGGGGGGTGCACACAGGACTTCAAAATGTCAAAAAAACAGCAGAATAACCACTTGAAAGAGGAGAGAAGTTCTCCCACACCATGGCAGGGAAGAAGAAAGCTCCCATCCTTCAGCATTGCTCTGACAGGAGAGGAATAGCTGAACAGAGCAGTTTTAAGGCTTTTATCTGCTTTCTGGCCCCATCTCCACTGACCCCAGCAAGGCAGGCACCAGCCTGGTGATGCTGTGCCTTGGGGATGCATTAAGGGCAAAAACACCCAAGAAAGGAAGCCAGGACTGGGGCAGAAAGCAAATGTAGGAGGGAGGAGACCAGACTCTGGACAACAAACAGAGCACGGAGGGGCTTTAGGTTTGGTTGTTCCCCCAAAGATGCCCCCGAGCCCCCCCCAGCACCCCACAATGTCCTACCTGTGCCGTAGTGCTCCAGCCCCGTGGGCACCTCCTGCGTGCTGGGCTCGTCCCACAGCGGGCAGCAGGGCCGGGGTGGGCAGCAGGAGGCCTGGAAGCCACAGCTCACCCAGGGATCCTCGCAGGCACCGGCGGCTCCCGCCTTCTGGAAGAGGGAGAGGGAAAGTGTCAGCGGAGCAGGACCCCAGAGAGCCAGCCAGGGGGAGGTGGCAGCGAAGCTTCCCCCAAAACAGAGAGCGAGCTCTGCTCCTACAGGGTGTGCTCCCAAAAGCTGTCGCTGAGGGGTGACACGGGGAGGCAAAAGGGGCCTTTTTGAACAGATGGGAGGGAAAAGCAAAGGTGCAGAGCGAGGCCCTGCTCAGCAGGGTGGGCTGGGAGGGGCTCAGCAGGACACCCCTCATGGCAAGGCTTTGTTCCAGCCCCCAAACTGGAACAGGGATTTTTTGGCAGCACAAGCAGGAGCCCCAAAAGCCCCCAGAAATGAGGAGCATGCTGGGGGGGTGCAGAAGCCATAGCCCTGCCCAGGCATTATGGTCCCCATGCTGTGGGGTGAGCTGTCAGGTGTCTGTTCCTGTTCCTATTTATGCTGATATTATTTGTGATCATAATAATAATAATATAAAGGGGCCTCTGGTGGTCTAGTGGTTAGGGTGCAGGACTCTCACCGCTTCGACCCGGGTTCGATTCCCAGCCCCCCGGGCAGATGGAGCTCGTCAGCCTTGTGAGGCAATCCATCTAAGAGAAGGTCACTCTAAACAAACCTACGTTCTGAGACCCTCACTGCCACTGTCCAAGCTTGCTCGGCCCCAGCAGATGAACCTCAGGATTAAAGGGTGGGCTCAGTTCAGCGCACGCTGTGTCTCACCTAAAAAATCCACTGCGCAGGCTCGAAGGGTTAATGACCTTTCCCAAATCTTCGCTCGCGAAGACTGGCCATTACATTACATTTGTGATCATTACGCTTGTATTTATATTTGTATTTGGGTCATTTATATTTACATTTGGGTTATTTATATTTATATTTGGGTTATTTGTATTTGGGCTATTTGTATTTGTGTTGGTTTTATTTCTGTGCCCACGGGCATACCTGTGTGTACATGTAAAGGTATTCAGGTGTGTATGAGATATACATCTCATATGTGCACATGTGTATTTATATACATAGGTACCCATATATTTACATAAACACACATGTATATTTATATAAACTATGTATTATTGCATTTATATTACATAATTATATAATTACATCATATAATTACATTATATATTATTACATAATATATGTTACATAATATATTACATATATATCACATAATATGCAATAAAAATATTGCATATTATATTACATATATAATATACCATCTATATATATCATCAATATATACCATATATATAATACACCATATTATTATATTACATCACTTACATATAGTACATTATATGTGTATATGCACATTATATGTGTGGTATAAGTATTTACATACCCACACATGTGTATCCTAGGTTAGAAGTCAATATGAATTACACTTTCATTTTTATGCTATATGAAGTTAGATTCAGCCTCTATAAAGAAAATATCTGTACTATATATACAAATTGTTATACCTACATATACAAATTACATATACAAATTATATAGAGAATTGTTTGGGTTGGGAAAAACCTTTAAGATTATCAATTCAGAAACAATCCTGGGATATAATTTTCATTTTGTTCTGTACAGACCTGTTTCATACATATATATTTATAAATACGTGTATCTATAGTGTGTATATATATGTACACACCATAAATATGCAGTATATATATGTGTATATACCTTATACATATATTTACCATATGCATGTACATGTATATACATGTATACCATATAATATATATGTTGCATTTAAGTGTTTATCTCTTTGTAAGAGGATAACAACATACAAATACCTATAAATAAATGCAGGATGTTTTAATTTTTTATTATTATTACCATTTCCCCACAAGGGAAATGGCTTTGCTTCACCTCCAATCAATATTTTAAAAGCCAAATGCACACTCAGAACCATTTAAAGGGAAGATATGGAGCTGCCTCAGAAAAATCTCATGGCTCAGAGTGGCCTTTTCTTCCTATTTTGGTGAAAATTGTGCTTTTCAGCAAGTGTTCTGTGATTTCTCTAAATATGGAGATGATATCTCTAAATATTACTCTGATTTCTCTAAACGTGGAGGTGATTTCTCAAAATTTGGAGGTGATTTCTCTAAATATGGAGGGGATTTCTATAAATATGGGCCTGATATCTCGAAATATGGGTCTGATTTCTCTAAATATTGGTCTGATATCTCTAAATGTTGGCTTGATTTCTCTAAATATGGGTCTGATATCTCGAAATATGGGTCTGATTTCTCTAATACGAAGGTGATTTTTCTAAATATTGGTCAAATTTCTCTAAATATAGAGGTGATTTCTCTAAACATGGAGGTGATTTCCCTAAATTTGGAGGTGATTTCTCTATGGGTCTGATTTCTCTAAATATGGGTGATTTGTCCAAACGTGGAGGTGATTTCTCTAAATATTGGTCAGATTTCTCTAAATATGGAGGTGATTTCTCTAAATTTAGAGGTGATTTCTCTATGGGTCTGATTTCTCTAAATATGGGCTTGATATCTCTAAATATGGGTGATTTCTCCAAATATTGGTCAGATTTCCTGAAATGTGGAGATGATTTCTCTAAATCTGGGTCTGATCTCTCTAAAAAGGCTCAAGGCACTGCCAAGCCTGTCCCAGAGCTACTGGTCATTGGCCTGGCCATGCCCAGGATCACACTCCAGATTGTGTTATATACAACTACCCATCACCTGCCCACACAGAGCAGAGCTGGCTCAGCAGAGGGAGCACCGAAATTGTCCCAAACCTCCAGAAACCCGAGGGAATCTTTCCCAAAGCTGTGCTTTGAGCTGCTCCCCCCACGCCCGTCCCTGCAGGTGAAGGTCAGCGCGGCCGCGGAGGCACCGGGACAATGGGCCCTCCAAGAACCCTCCTCCCAGCACAAGCGCAGGAAATCCGATGCAGGATCCCATTTCCAGGGGAGGTCTGCAGGCTCCAGAGGTTCAGATAAGCTCTGGGTAAACACTGGGAATTCAGGAGCTGCTCTGAGTGGCCTAAAACCTGGAGTACTCGGTGGATGACACCAAACCGTGTCAGTGGGCTGGAGAAAAACCCACTGCTGGGGGAGGAAAATAACCCCACTCCTTTCTTTCATAGAATCCCAGACTGGTTTGGGTGGGAAGGGACCTTAAAGATCATTTAGTTCCATGAGCAGGGACACCTCCCACCAGCTCAGGTTGCTCCAAGCCCCGTCCAACCTGGCCTTGGACACTTCCAGGGGTCCGGGGGCAGCCACAGCTTCTCTGGGCAACCTGGGCCAGGGCCTCCCCACCCTTGTAGTAAAGAATTTCTTCTTTATATTTAATCCAGACCCACCCTCCTCCAGCCTCAGGCTCTTCCCCCTTGTCCTGGGTGTTCCTTACCATCACTCCAGGCCGAGCCAAAGGATAAGGGGCTGCACTGCCGATGGTTGTGTCCATGTAGTAACTCATCATCTTGGAGGTGCCTGCAAAAATGGAGATGGATTAGATGACAGGCCACAAAAAGTGAGAGAAGCAGCTAAATCCCTGCTTTCTCAGAGCACACCATCACCTTAATGAGTGTGAGCTGGAAAAGTTAAGGGGAAAATATCTGTATTAAGAGGAGATACTGTGATTAGATGGGTTGTATCAACAATGCAAACACAGATCCATTAGTGTAAACTGGGGAGAGCCTGACAATGGTGAATGAATTATCACCTGGAAGCTGATGGAGCTGCTCTGAGGGAAGATGAGATCATATTTCCTTTGCTGGAGAATTGGTGGGAAATCGTTGCCAATTTTTTTTCTTTTGAGAGAGAAAAAAGAAAAAAAAAGCCACTTTGTTGAGCTCAACACCTTTCCTGTCACAGCTTGGTCACAACCAGCCTGTTTCACAAAGAACTTTGCTGTTTTCAGGAGACATCCTCTGCTTTCCCACATTAGCTTATGTTTGCCTTGCTAAATCTCTGCCTTGCCTGGCATTCCTCACATGGGATTTACTCCCGTGAGCAAGTCCTACCAGAGCTGCTCTTTAGATGGGATATTTAATCATCCAGGAGCCCGTTTGTGTGGCTGAGGTGAAGGAGCTGCAGTGTGGTTCTGATATCAGAGCTGTGGATGTTTCTCCCTCTCTCCTTTAAGTGCCCAGTGGAAAGTGCAGGGCCAGGGCCCTTGGTTTTGGTGGATGTGACTCAAAGGTGCTGGAGGAAGGAGCAGAGGGGGAGAAGGCTGGGCAGGATGTGCCTGGGAGCCAAGGGAATGGCTGCTTCCATCTGGGGATAGAGGCACAGCCTGAGGGATGAGGAGCTGCTTTAACCAGAGGGGACAGAGCAGCTCCTCTGAAACCCCTCCGGGGTCCTGCAGAGCCCTGAGCTGCCAAATGCAACCACTGCAGATGCAAACACTTGTCTGAGTCATCTCAGAATAAAATCACAGAGTCATGAGGGTTGGAAAAGTCCTCTGGGATCACCAGTCCAACCATTCCCCAGCACTGCCAGGTCCACCACTGCACCACATGCCCATATAGCACATATACACAGTGTTCAAGAATGCCAGGGAAGGTGACTCCACCACTGTCTTGGGGAGCCTGTGCCAGTGCTGGATAACCCTTTGGGTGAAGAAATTTTCCCTAATATCCAACCTAAACCTCACTGGTGCAACTTGAGGCCATTTCCTCTCCTCCTGTCCCTTGTTCCCTGGGAGCAGAGCCTGAAAAGTCCCGGCTCCCCCCTCCTGGCAGGGCATTGCAGAGCCAGAAGGTGCCCCCTGAGCTTCCTTTTCTCCAGGCTGAGCCCCCCCAGCTCCCTCAGCCTCTCATCAGACTTGTGCTTCACAAGGTTTGTGCTTGGCCCTTCTCCACAGAACCAGCACAGCCACGTTACCTTCAGCTCCACCCCTACACCGGCCCCTTGAACAGCTCCTGGAGGACTGGGATCTGCTCCCAGCCTTCCCTCTGCTCCCAGGGCTGGCCAGCAGTTCTCCAGCCCCCAGGACAGGACAGGACAGGGCAGGGCAGGGCAGAGCTGTTGTGGCCGTGCCTCACTCACCACCTCAGCAAACAGGGACCCCGACATTTGTTTCCCCCTGCTCGGTGAGTAATGGCCAAACACGGAACACCTGCGTGTGCAGGGTATTAAATGATCATCATCATTTCCTGCCTGTTATTACTGACTCTTGTTCTCACACCGGCATTGTTGTTTTTGAAAAACTTTTCTTTTTTTAATTCACAAAACTGAAAACTACCGAGGTGGTGGAAGAACAACGAGCCCATTTCTCTTTGTGCTGTACCCAAAACCACACCGAGTGTGAGTTACCGTGGCTGAGGAGCCTTAACTAATCTCAGCATCTGTGCACGCCCTCCCAGCCCTAACGAGGCGTTAAAACACGTTTGCTTCAGTCTCTGTGCAGCTGAGGCTGCAGCTGGGGAGACACAGACAGTGCTGGAGCCCCTTTCTGAGTAATCACAGAGTCCCAGAACCATTTGGGTTGGAAAGGACCTTGAAGACCACCTCGTTTCACCTCCTGCCATGGGCAGGGACGCCGTTCACTAACCAGGTTGTTCCAAGTCCCGTCCCAACCTGGCCTTGGACATTCCCAGGGATGAAGTATCCCTGGAATGAAGGGCATCCCCTAAGGAAGGTCAAGGCTCTCAGTCCCACACGCTGGTCCCCTGATCCTCACCCTCAGCACACATAAACCATCTCAGGTAAACGTGAACTGACCTTGCCCTAAAGCCAAGATTAGTGCTGCCAAACTGCACAGAACACGACAGACACTGTGAAATGGAGGCAGAGAAACCCTGGGGCTGGTTCACCTGTTTCAGAGCCACACACGTGTTCGAGAGTGAGGAGTTAGAGCCCTCAAAGAGCAGTTCAGCAGCAGCTCCTGGGAGCAGCTTCTGTTGCTCTCTGCAGCCTGTGCAATAGGCAGTTGGGGTTTGCTCTGGGTTTTTTTTGCCTTTGATGAAGACACCTGAGTCCCACGGTTCTCGAGAGCTGCTTTCATGCCTCACTGAGCGTCGTTTGCATCTCTCAGGCTGCACTTGCCAGCTGAACCTTCCAGCAAGGGGCCACACGCCGCTGCTCGAAGCCACATGTGCTGCAGTGACAGCAGAGGCACCAAACCCGTCCTGACACCCAGGACAAGGCTTTGTGCACTCAGGAATATCAATAAGATTTAACCAGAGCACCAGCAACCCCCTCCCGAGCCTGGGAAAGGTGAATTATCATCTCTAGGCAGCAGCTCCAAGAGATTCACAGCCAGTTTGCTCTTTGGTTTCCCTTCCCCTCCAAGCTGTGCTGTTAAAAATCACTGGTGGGGGGCAGAAACACAACACAAACCTCGGCAACTGTTTGCACTCCCACCCCGGGGGTTGAAGACAAGCCCAGCCTAAATGCAGGTTAAGTCAGTCCCCCAACCTGATGCAGGTTTTGTGGGTGATAGTGGTTAAAGGACAGGGAGACACAGGCTCCAGTCTGTGAAAAGGACCTGGAATCATGGAATGGTTTGGGTTGGAAGGGGTCTTAAAGATCATCTCTTTACAACCCACCTCCATGGGCAGAGATGCCACCCACTAAATGACAAGCCCTGGTAGAAAAGGATCCTGTGCACGGAATAATTGTGCTCTGGAAAAGCGGGTATGGAAGAGGAGGCCGGAGGGAGCTCTGCTGTGCTGTGTCCAGGCTAATTTTAACAGAACTTCCACCACTTCCCAGAGGAAACTACTTCACAGCCCAATACGTCTCTCACTGTCAGCAAGTTTCCCTGATGTTTGAGAGATATTTTGCTTCTCTTTGACTTCCTCTAATAAGAGCCTAAATAGTTCCTCCCCTCCACTGGATGCTGTCAGACAGCTCTGATGAGGGCCCTGAGCCGAGCTGAGCTCAGGACAGAGCCCATCAGGGCAGGTAACTTGGCTGAGATGGAGGAAATCACTGCAGATTTACCCCCAGATAATCCTGATCCAGAGCTTGCAGAGAGCTGGTAATTAATAGAGAGGAATCAGACCCATTTGGTAAAATCCTTAATGACTTAATAGCTTGACTTCAGCCTTATTGTTTGCCCTTATTATTTGTGTCTTATTGTGAAAACACATGTGGGAGAAACAGCATTTATTTTGGGAATTGATCAAGTACCAGCCAAAGCTATGAGACTCTTGGGTCATTTCTAAACTGAATTAAAATTTTAATTTCATTTCAACATCCATCCCTCCTCTTTTACAAGGTTTTTTTATCATTATTATTTTAAATCAATTACCAAGCTTAGTTTAAAAGGAAAATGCTGTTTGTCCTCATGATTAACACACACACCCCCTTTCAAAAGTTGGGAAGGAGTTTAAAATATAGATTAGAACAAAACAAACTTTGCCTGTTTGATATATGAAGACACTTCACAATATTTTCATATAATGTTTTAGTTTTATATTGCTTTAAGGATGGGGAGAGGGAAGTGGAGTGAGGCCACAGTGGCTTCCCAGTGGCAGAATCAACAGATTCCCACCTCTGTTTCCCAGTTTAATGTTGTAAAATGCAGAGGCTCAGACTGTTCCTCGGTTTCTGAGCTGTAGGACCACGCTGAGCTTCTGCCCACCCCACACCCTGAGCCCCAGCTGGGCGCCCAGTGAGGGTGTCCCTGCAGGGTGGCACAGCTGGGACAGCTGCTCACCGGGATTCGGGAGCTTTTCCTCCATCCCAACAAAACAGGAAGATTCCTTTTCCACGGGGTCGCTCCAGGAGGATGGGGCAGCACCAGCAACCCCACCAAAGTGTTTCTGGCTTCAAGAGCCTGAATGAAGAGTTTAAAAAGGCAAAGCAGCCCCTTCCCCGTGGGCTGGCAGCTCCTGCCCCAGAGCTGCTTGATTTGTGCATCAAGGAATAATTCCTCATCTTTGAGGGGGTGGGGAGAAGAGCTGGTGGAAATGACATCCTTCCACAGGTCTTTAACCCCTGGCATCCTGGCACTTTCCAGGCCTCCTGCCAGCTCAGTTCTCAGGGGAGGGAGTGTTTGTTGATCCGTTGGCATGTTAAAAACCCCTTCAATTCATCAAACCCTGGCACCAGCTTGAAATAAAAGGAGCATCCCTAAGGCAGGAGCATGAGCAGGAGAAATGAGTGTGCTTCCTTTATGCACAATCCATGCTTTTTAACTGCTGGAAATCCCACAGTTCTTAGGATTTCAAAACTTTGTAGTGTTCCTGCAGATAACAGCTGATTTAGTGAAGGGAAAGCAGGCAGGGCAGTAAATGCTGCTGTGGTAAAGAGATAGGAATGGTAAATAGAATAAAAATGGTAAATAGAGCAACAGTTTACCATTGTAAATAGAGCAACAGTTTACCATTGTAAATAGAGTGACAGTGGTAAATAGAGTAGCAAAGGTAAATAGAATAGGAATGATAAAGAGAGTAACAATGGTAAATAGAGTAGCAATTGTAAATAGAGTAAAAATTGTAAATAGAGAGGTAATTGCCCTTCTGCACC